GGTGGGGGGGTGGGGGGGTGGGGGAGGATTTTAAGGTAGACATTCTGATGTTTGTGTTAGCAATCCAGAGGAATAACCGTGTATAGGTGAAATGACCTAAAGCTATCTATTGGAATGGGCCAATGAATTGTTGTGGGAAGGCTTTTACCAGTGACATTAGTTACATAAGAAGTCATTTTATTCCTCGTGTCTAAAATGGCTCTTCCACGGAATACTGACCACTGTTCACTGGAAAAGCAAATGCAGGAACTTTAGTTTAAAGACTGGATACTGGGCTATGTCTGGAGCCATTCAATTTTGTGTCAGGAATTGACTGAAGTCATTTTTGTTTCTGTTTGTGTCTGGTATGACTCATACCAGGGGATGGAGAATAATCCAATTTGCTTCAACAATTGTCTGAAGAGTCATTTATTCCTCATTTTATATACCTCTCTTCTCCATTTGGTTTAGGGAGAGAGCTAGTCATTCATTGGGCATTGAATGGAGATGGTATAAGGATGCTTCATGCTTTGATTAGTATTCTCATATCAGCTTCTTTATAGCTACCTGCTGTCAAAGATCTTTCTCTGACGAAGATACAGTCAATTAAGAAATGTGGATAAAACGATATCAATCGCATGGAAGATATTTCTATAAGTTCTCTCTTATGATTTCTGAATTTCTGATATTTCTCTTTGATTAAAAATCAGGAAGGGCACTCAATCTTGTGTCTTGGTATCTAGGTGGTAACAACTTTATGATACCTCTGATTGAAAACATTGATTTAATTTTAGAAAGACAACTTGGATATGCTGATTATTTGCAACACTATTTGGCACTTGCATTGCATCTTGGCTATATTTTAAAATGGAACATATGCATTGCTATCTTTATTGGTACGTTCCTTGTTAAGAGATGAGATAAGAGGGGGTGTTATATCGATTCTTGTGAATTCTGTATTGGTTAAATGCATCTAAACCTGTAGGTTGTAGCAGCTGTTATATTGATTCTTGTGAATTCTGTATTAGTTAAATGCATCTAAACCTGTAGGTTGTAGCAGCTGTGGGCTTTAAGGGGAAAAGACTCGACATTCCACGTGACTTGACTCCACAAGTGGCAAGCATTATTGAGGCCTGCTGGGCCAAGTATGTTGCTATGTTCTTCGATAGTTCAGTCACATGGCTTTTGGTTTGCTTTGATGTGCTCTTGAAGTAACTTTTGGTAATGTTGCAGAGAACCATGGAAACGTCCCTCCTTTGCTGCAATCATGGATATGCTGAGACCACTAATTAAACCTCCTGTAACACCTCCTCAACCAGGCCGTACAGACACGCAGTTGCTTGCGTGAATGCGTGTAATAGATGTATGATTTCTGCACATATTTGGCATTCTTTGTTAATCGTCTTCTGGGAGGAACAAAATCTTTGTTTACTTCAGGTTCGTGTATCCTGAAGTCTCTCTCTTCATTCTGCTAAAATTTTACATCTGTCCTGATGTGCACATATTACTCCAACTTAAGTCGGCAACACTGCAATTAGAAGTTGCAAGTGTTGGTGATTGTATCGACTTTCTGACTTCAACTTGGGAGATGTGGAGAGGGTTCACCTCTTAGCTTTCTTTTGATAGTATGTGAGCTTGTAACAACCTTTAATGTGTGTTTTTGCAGGCTTTTGTTCCGTACATATTAGTTCAGAATGCCCGTCTAGAGCCGTTTTTTTCTTCACAAATTCAAGCTGTCATTTCTCCCAGAAGACCATTTGCAATTGACTTGTACGTTTCCTCATGGAAATAATGTTTAGCCATATGATTTTGTTAATGCCAGCAAATAACAGTTCTTTAATTTTCTATCAAGAAAATATTTTGTATGTATAAGAATTTATAATGGGAAGTTGTCTTATAGGAATGCACAGTTTGTATCACGTCTTTGAGAGTATGTGCTTTCAGATGCATGTAGCTTCTTTCTCATATGTTGTGTCCTCCTGGTCCCATTAGATATCTTACAACTAGAATCCCACTTTTTTCCGATCCAGTTCCCTCCGCCAACACAAAACCCCAGTTAGATTCGGCATGCTACACTTTTTAGTTATGGGAGAACACAAGTACTCAAAGAACATAGACAAACTTATGTTCTGTTATCTCAAGATCCCTTGTTGCTTAATAATGTGGATTACTGATTGTTAACTCAAATCTAGTGTTTTACAATGTGGTCATGTTCTCTCCTTTGAAAAGACTATCAAATAGTCCCACATAAGGGAGAGAAGGCCCAAAATAGTCCCTCATCTTTAGGTTAAGACTCAAAGTCATCCTTGAGTTTTCACATGGAGCACTAATAGTCCCTCATGTTTGCAATGTTGGTGCACTTTTGGTCCTCCCCTAAACTTTTGCTTATTTTTTAACATTAATTTTGATCATAATTTTATGTAAGGAATGTCCCATCATCTTTTATATATTTAGTAAAAATAATTACTCTATGTGAGAGAAGGTGAGAAGAAGAACATCTTATTCTATTCAGTATAAATATTACTGTAACTAAACTAAGAACATTTTAACATATGACATTGCAAGAAAAGAAAAATTTGTACTATTGCACGTGAAATCGTCGTGAAAACTCAAGGATGACTTTGAGTCTTAACCCAAAGATGAAGGACTATTTTGGGCCTTTTCTCCACATAGCGCTCACATCTATCTATATATAAAAGGAGAAGAAACAATTACACATGTCAACACCACAAATTTTTAGTATTTTAAATAATTAATAATTAATAATTAAATAAATAAATATAGACACATGTCAATAATTAAAATTAGAATGACACATGTCAACACCACAAAAATAAAATAGAAATAAATAAATTTTAAACAAACTATTTAAAATACAAAAAAATAAAAATAAAATACCAACGGACAAAAGAGTAAAAAATGTTAAAATAGGTTATAGTAATAGAAAATGTAACAAAGAAAAAATAAAATAAATATTCTTCTTCAAATGTGTAGTATTATTTGTTGAATTCTTTCCATTCTTCCTATCTTCATCTTTTTATGGAGCGAATAAGTAGATTATTTGTCGGTTAACCGAAGAAAAAAGTTTGAATATACTTGCAAATAACAAAGTGAAAGTCCAAGAAGAAGAAGAACAATATTTATCAAAATGGAAATCTTCTGCAAATGATGATATTGTTAGATCTATAATGTCTTTTTGTGAATTTTTTTGGTTCATTTCATTCAATTTGATTTGTTTCTATCATATATTGTACTTAAATTCTTTAGGTCGAATTAGTTTTCTATGTTCTTTTTTTATTTACATTTGTAATCTTTGATGATTTTTGCTGTGATTAATTTTTTTTTTTTTACGATTGTGTTATTTTTTATTAAGTGAAGTTATTCTAATATTTTTTATGTTATCATTTTCTGTTAATTTTTTCTATTCAATCATTTATATTATTGAATTATTTGTCATATCTTCACATTTATTAAAATGTTAAATATATGCATTTAAAAATCGTTGTTATGGAATCATTAATATAATAGTATAGATAAATGTGTAATATAATTTAGGGAAAAGGGACGGATTTACCCCCGAACTTTAATAAATGGTACGTATATGCCCTCCGTTATACTTTGCGTCCACATAAGCCCCCGCCGTCCAATTATAGGTACACATATACCCCTCTCACTAATGGACCCCTAATTTCTTACACGTGTCTTAATCCTATTGAACTACCTGTTTGACCCTTTTTTTTTAACCCATAACCCAACTATCTGCCCCATAACCCAATACCCACTAAAAATCGTGCTTTGCTTGCTGTGACTGCACCTCGTCTTCGTCGAACTGATATTGAACTGATAAGTAGATGATGATTTACTCAGAGGTAAATTTATTGACTGCTGTGATAAGATGATGATGATTTAAGAGGGGTATTTGGTCGAATCCAAAAGGCATTCCAGAAATTAATGTGTGTGCTGTTCGCAGGTTTCCAAAGAAGTCCAATTTGGCAAGTTCAATCATAGCTTCAGAAAGAGCAACAACAGCATCATACATTGCAGCTCCTTCACCATCTAATTTTTGCAGCATACATCCAATTCCCACTTGCTTTAACATCAGAAAGAGATGTAACTTTCGCCCAAACAAGATTTGTGAGTGCTTCTCCAACAGCCAGCCTTGCCATTGCTTTGGTGTGTGAGATAAGCGGGGACCTCCGACTAGGGAAAAGGGATCGATTTTGGTGTGTTAATTTGGGTGTTTTAATTAGGATTCATTTTAGAGGAAATTGGGTGGGTATTGGGTTATGGGGCAGATAGTTGGATTATGGGGTTAAAAAAAAGGGTCAAACGGATAGTTCAATAGGATTAAGACACGTGTAAGAAATTAGGGGTCCGTTAGTGAGAGGGGTATATGTGTACCTATAATTGGACGGCAGGGACTTATGTTGACGCTAAGTATAACGGAGGGCATATACGTACCATTTATTAAAGTTTGGGGGTAAATCCGTCCCTTTTCCCTATAATTTATTATCATAGTTATGCTTGTTACCTCACTTTCTTATAGATTTTTATTTTAATAATAGATTTGTGGGTGATAAATCATTAGAGTATGAATTAAAATTTGATTAATTTTATTTTTAATTGTATGTTATTTTTTAATTTAATTTTAGTGTAGCTAATCGAATAATTTTTTATTCTGTCATTTATACTAACATGTGTTTATTATTGAATTATGGATGTATTCTTCTTCAAATGTGTAATGTTGTCTGTTATATTATTTCTATTCTTTTTATCTTCATTCTTTTTATTTGGTGAATAGGTAAAATTATTTTTATGGCTAGCCGAATAAAATTTGAATATATTTGCAAATAAAATAGTAGAAGTTCAAGAAAAGAAGAACAATATTTATCAAAAGTGAAAATCCTCTGCAAATGATGATATTGTTAGATCTATAATGTCTTTTTTTTTTTCCAGTTTATTTCATTCAATCTGATTTGTTTTTGTCATATTTTGTACATAAATTCTTTAAATCAGATGATTGAACCATGAATCTATTCTTTTTCAAATGTATAATGTTGTTTGTTAAATTAGTTTCATTCTTCTTATCTTCATTTTTTTTATGGAGTGAATAGATAGATTATTTGATGGCTAGCCGAAGAAAATTTGAATATATTTGCAAATAAAAAAGTGAAAGTCCAAGAAAAAGAAGAACAATATTTATCAAACTGAAAATCCTCTGCAAATAATGATATTGATAAGTATAATGTCTTATTGTGACTTTTTAGTTTATTTCATTCAATTTGATTTTTTTTTGTGATATTATGTACTTAAATTTTTTAAATCAAATAAGTTTTATATGTTTATTTATTTACATTTGTAATCTTTGATATTTTTATGGCGATTAATTTATTCTTTAGATTGTACGTTATTTTTTAAATTTAATTTTAGTGAAGTTATTCTAATACATTTTTTTTTTCATTTTCTGTTAATTTTTACTCAATCATTTACCCTAACATGTTTTTGAATGTTGGATTATTGGTGATATATTCACATTTTTAAAATGCTAAATATGTGCAATTGAATATCTTAATTGCTATGGAATTATTAATATAATGTATCGATGAATGTAGAATATCATGATTTATGCATATTATTCCACTTTCTTATAGCTTTTTAGTAATATACTTGTGAGTGATAGAATATTAAAATATGAACAAAAATTTGTTCATTTGTTCAGTTAAATTTTATTTAAAATATATATTTTTTTAATTGTTACTATACTTAAAATTAAAGGTTTGTCTTTGGAATTTAGAACTTTCAAACCTATAGAATACACAACTATTCTAAAAATTAAATATACAAAAAAGACTTCTTATATTACAAGATAGTAGAGAATTTGAAATTATTTTGTCAATATTGAAATAAATAATAGGCCATTTAGTTAATTAGAAACTACCATTTAATTAATAAGAGAATATGCACCATTGTATTTGAGATCAAGACAAATAGTAACGTGTTTCAAAATATTATATCAAAGCGAATTCAAAATTAAGATTATTTTTTTTATAACGTGGAATTCATACATTTTTAAAAAATATAGAATTTATATAAATTTTTAAATAGTTAATTAGGGATTATAAATTATTTTTAAAATAGATAAGTTAGTTATTTTAAAATTATAAAAATATTTGTAATTTTTACTATAATTGAGACTGACTAATTAAAAGTTCAAATTTTGAATTTTAATATTTTATAGTTTTTTGAAGATAGTTACACTTTTCTGACTTTATCATAATTGTAAGATAATTATATAACTAGAAGGTACTCTCTAATAGTTCATGTAATTATTTTATTTGTTCAAAAATATTTTTATTTGTACGTAATCTCAATTTTTATCTCAATTATGTAGAAACTTTAATAGTAATCATAAATAATTTCAATCATTATTATTAATAGAACATTAGAAGAATTATTACTAAAGGTATTTGTGTTAATAAAATATTAAATTGTTGTATGTATTATTGATATATGACTAAAGAAAAGAACACGGGAAGAATATAGTAAGTAAATATTATACGTTGTATTGAAATATATTTAAGTTAATAAAAACAGAAATTGTTGTAAGTACTATTTTTTATGATTAAACAAAATAACAATTTGAAGAAAAAGATTACACGTTGTATTAAAATAATAAGTACTAAAAATTATGATAAATTTTATAATAGTCATTAAAGGAATTTACGCAATAATTACTATAATAGAATACTAGAAAAATTGATAAGTTCTTCGATAGATAATCATTGATAAAAAATTAAATTATTATTTTCTTTTTCGAAAGTTTAAAAGTAACTTATTCAGTATTTGTGATTAATTATTTTCAATGATTAATAAAAAAATGTATATATCATGAACATGTCTCTATTATTATATGACATTATTTTATATTGACTCTATTTTAAATTACTTTTCTATTATTCGTTTGACACAAATTTTAGAATGTAAAGAATATTTTGAATCTTTTGAATTTGAAAAAAATATATGCAAAATATATTAACATGTCATTTAGTCTTACGATATTTTACCTTTCTTGTGAAATATTCTTAACTAATAAATTGTTAATATGAAAAATATATTAATATATCAATACAACATAAAAATAATAAAGGACAAATATGTAAAATATTTCAACTAATTGATGATTCATGAAATTAAATTAATCATAAATTCATATATAGTTGCGCAACGCGCTGGTACGTATACTAGTATGTTATGTAGAAGGAGTCTGATCGTTTTGACATGGTGAATCGAGCCATGGGTATCTAAGTTTCATGGATGACGATTTTCCACAAAATGTATAACTAGTACAGATCTTTCCATTATTCAAGTCGATAGTGAAAGATACCCCTATAATGGATCGTGAGGAACTGAGAGTCCAAAAGATAATACTTCTCAACCGTCGTTATCCTAGATATATTATTTAAAACAAAAGGAGGGTTTTCCGCATGTACTAGTTTATAAAATTTGCCGCATAAAATATAACACCGCCGTATGTATGACTTCGAGTCCCCTCTAGGTACGAAGTCATCTTTGTTAGGGAGAATTTTATCCCAATGTGGGGACTTTCAGCAGACCCCAAAACAGACTCCAATTTTATCACCAAGACTACACTGACAAACTCAGTTTTCTCTCAATCAACTTGACCCTTTTGGGATGATGCTGAATGGCGAATGCACTCGTATTTTTAGCATTTTTCCGCAACAAAAAAACATGTGAAGTTTAGAGGGTGATTTGTACGCAGTCTTACTCCTACCTTATGAAGGTAGAGAAGTTATTTCCGATAGACCATCGAGATAAGTCAAGCATATCAAAAGCAAAGTATCAAAACAAACAGTAGTAAAGAAACACATGCTAAAAAAAAGAGGAGAATCGTATGAACAACAAATAATATGGTAACAAAAATAAAAGGAAACATATAATGATAAAATCCTAGAATACGAAATTAGGAGAATAATATTAACAATACTATTAAGGAAACTAAACAATGTTGGACTACCTACTAATGTTCAATCCCAATATCCTCTTAATAAGGAATCATATCCATGGTAAGCTCTAGGTTAGTCATATCGTGTCTAATCACCTTTCCCTGATGACCATTTTTTCCCCACAAGTATCACAAAATGCTTGCAAGAACATATAATTTAGTTTTACTGTTACTCTACATGTTGAACCCCCATCAATATCACAATACAAGCCAGGGGATACTTCTCAAATGGTTTGCCAGGATAACCCATCAATTATTACATGACACAAAATATAATCAGATTGCTCCTGATGAACATCCTACACATTTAGAAATATACAAATAAGCAAAGAGAAATCAAATAATTGAGCAGGATCTTTTTCTTGATGACCGATAAATCGGTCTGGGCCCAACCCTTAGAATCAACCGCAATCTCCACTTAAATATCAGGCTTAGTTCGCATGATGCAAGGCTCGAACTCCCCTCAACCTTTGCCACTTGACCAAAGCCCTGAGCAGGACTTTGCCTGCTGTTTCTGATATACATCATTGCTTACCTAGGCAGAGGCTCCACAAGAAAACTGGTTTGGTTGAGGGTACAGGATCCAAGCAAGCAATTACAAAAGAATCGACTGCCCTGAAAGAGAAGTTCAACACAAAATTTAAGGGTTCAAAAATGTGAACACTGTTTGTGTAAAGCTATTTAAGCATCAAACACTTCTAAAGGTCAACCTACTCGACATGACACAGATAGGATTGTTTGACATCAGCCCAACGATACTGAATATTCACAATTTTTCAATTGATCAGCAAAAGATGTTGCCTTTAACGTGTCCCTGAAAGGGATGGGCGTTGTGAGTCATAACATTAACTCTGGTTTTTTGAACTAATGATTTGAACGAGGAAAAGCAGATAATAATATAGGAAGAGATACATGTAATGCTTGGTTGATTAATTAGCTTGGAAAATCATTTACTCGAACCAACTTGGTATAAGAGCCATGACTTCATCTTTCTCCTACACCACGCGACTCACTCCCTCTTAGTCCCCCCTTGGACTTCCAAATCCCCCAGTCTATAACCTCAAGGTTCCATACCTAAAGAAACTATCTGAATTACCTAACTTGGAGACAAGTCAGAACCTTCTTTTGTTGGTTGAGGTTCAATACCTTGCCCACTCACTACACATGAAGAATGTCATTTACGGATCCAATATGATACTATTTCACTAAGTTGGATAAATCATAAATGTTACCTTTTCGCCAATAGTTCTTGATTCTCACCTAAACTTTGTATGTGAAACTTGTAAAGAAGCGTGTGATACCTTGGTCTCTTTTTAGCTTGAAAATTGTCCTCAGCCATTCTTCAAGAAAAAATTCACGATCTCAAAAGAGGCTCACTTTTCTTTTCTTTTTTGATAACCATGGTGACCATGGTATCCACCAAGACTAATTTCAGGAAATACTATCTCCAAGTGTTGCACTCATTGCCTATTCTCTGACGGCTACGGAGAATTTGTCAAGGAGGGAGATCTTGTCGCTCAGGCATAAGCGTCGCCAACTTCCCACTGTACTTTTGTTTCAGGATTAAATGCCCACTGGTCACTCCCGCCCCATAGTCATGGGACCACTCTTTTTAACAGAAGAAACTCTGAAGTCTTATCAATGCAAACATCCCCTGAAGCTATCATAGCAGAGATCATGGTCAACCCGTCAACCCTAACTCTTGTCGCAGATTTTGCTCTCAATGTACTAGAATGCGACGTCTTGCTTGAGGGTGTTTTTTATCATTCTCCTTTTCTTCCGTTGAAACAGTCAGATTTGTTTTGGCTTCCATACATCCTTAGAATGATGAAATACCCATGAACAAGCACTATTGTTTAGATGGAGTAACTTATCAAACTGATGTCACAAAGCACGAAATCATCTTCCAGATGATCAGAAAATAATCAGATCCTGCTGAATCTGATAAACAGCGCAGACGATGTGAAATTTGTTTATTTTGTTTCAGACTCCATTCAACGGCTCAAAAGTTATGCCGGACATCAGGAATAAATCCCCCCACCCCTACCCCCAGCACTTCCTGTAGCAGCATCTTAAGGAAATAAATTCATTGACTCTACCAACACTGCTAGAGTCTTCCGTTCCTCCACCTCGTCTTTCTTATATTTCTATATTAAACTACCTAAGAACGTATGAGCAGAGTCCCCTAAAGTGTTCTTCAGTAGGTTTATGGTTGAAAAATGGGGAGGAAGAGGAAGAGGAAGCCTGAAGGAGTTATGCTAATTCACCTTCTTTTTTTCTCATTTCACTCTGAGAAAGATTAACTTCAGCAACCAGCGGAGCTTGGCAAGTCAACATACAAAAAGCTAGTGCACTAACATAAGAATCAAATAACCAGAGCATCCAATTCAGAAACTTAAAGATAATGAGTGCAGTGGCCCCGTACATTATAAAACCTTTTGAAAACTTTTACGCACTCGATGAGAGACGAGTGCTCTAACACCCTCCTGCACATGTAACTGAGTTTTTGAGTCTACACGTGGATTCAAAATCCTTTTTTTTAGCACATTGAAGAGTAGACATGATATAGAGAGACAAAGATCAGTCTCAACTGGCTGAAGAATGGGCCTGGAAATGAGGAGAGTAGGCTCAAATGGCTAAAAAGTGGGTCTAGATCAAAGTTTGTGCCTCGATGAGCTGAATTGAGAGAGAAGAAGCTCAGAGTCCATAGACCAAGCTGAGAGAAAGCCCAGAGCATTACAGTAGATAGAAAGAAGATTATTGTACAAATTGGCTTATCAAAGTTCAAGTCTGATACCATATTAAGAAAATGGACCTCGGGCCCTAACTCAACCCTCAAAAGCTAGCTCATGAGGTGAGGATTGCCCAAGACCATACAAGGAGCTATTTTGCTCGGACTCTTCAAAGATATCTATGGGTGTGGGTCGGATACTCCAAAAATAGTACTTTTGTGGAGGATCCGACACGAGTGCGGCAACATTTTTGGAGAGGCCAAGCAACATAGACAAGGAGACTAGTTAACTATCTCACTACCAATGTGGGACTTTTAGCATCCCTCCCCCCTCCCAGCATTGCCCATACCGGGACATTTAAAGTGTGAACAGTACAAATGAGGTCTAACATCGGATAAACCAAGAATCGAAATAGGTCTGACTCTTATACTATCTCCACGTTGGTTGAGGAAATCGGTTGCAGTCTTGGAGAATACTCCCCTCATGAGCTAGCTTTTGAGATTAAATCATGCCCAAGGTAACAATCAAAATTGTACACATTCTGTGCATGTTATTCAGCTTCATCTCAAAGAATTCTGGTAAAGTAATAATTCATCAAGCAATCATATGATAAGTCACCACAAGATCTCCTTACCTGGAAAAAGCTTGAGCGAGCAATGTCATACACTCATTCTAGTCCCAATTTCTCAAAAGAAGTCCCATACTCGCCTTCAGTGCTGCAAACCTGCAGATTTCACAACTTAAAAGAGTATATGTTAGCAGGATATATCTACAATTTATGCCATCAAATATTCACAGTTCAGCACAATTAGCAAAGAAATAGCAGACCAAGGAGACGGGAATAGAACAGAAGAACCAGTCGAAAGTAATTATCAACTAAAATATTTATAATCACTCATTCAATATTATGTCCCATCAACTAAATGATGGCTAGTATCCCAATGGCACACTGAAGGCCAAGGGTACTCTTTCCTAAAAACTATCATTCTTGGGCTGGTTGGCATGGCTTTCAGACTGACCAAAAGGAGACCCATCAGCTGGCCACTTATCAACCCCAGAACTTCCAGCTGCCTGCAAGGGATCTATATCCCACAAATCTGACAAACCAGAGCTAACACCGAAGTCTGGGACATAGCTGCTAAGACTATCCCATAACTCGGTGCCAGCACTTGGCATGCCAGCACTGGCTTCAAAACCCATACTCCAAAGTTCCTCATCTTTCACCATACTTCCAATAGCTGGTGAGGAAAATCCTGAAATGTTTTTCTCCTTCCCCATCTCCTCTGGAAAAGAGGCAAAGTACTCAGGCATAACTTCTAATTGAAGACTAGCTACATTCTTCCCTTTGAAATGAGAGCCTTCGGGGTTAAAGAATGAAGCTCCTCCTATTTCCCGATCTGAACAATTAAAAAGTTCATGTGCCACTGTCAGTTCCTCAGATGCAACAGTACCACCTTCAAAAGGCATGGCTTCCGCTCCTAAACCAGTTTCTGGGAGTTGTTGATCCACAACTGGATTGAAGTCTGGGCTCTCAAAGCATGCTGCAAGGTCTTGAAAGTCAGACCTGACCTTGACTATCTGCCCTTCCATGGAAGACGACCCCACTCCATCTGGACCATGTGGCTGATATTTAACAAATTTCCTCATTGTTCTTGGACAAGTAATTTCTCCTTGCTCCTTCATCTGCCGAACACGAGCCAAGAATGTGGGATTCTGAAGCACCTTGGCCAAGAATGAAACCATCTGCTTCTGTCTTTGTTCTGCAGCCTGAAGCTTTTCATTAACAGATTCCATTTGTTGAACCGTCCCACGCTGCTGCTGCTGCAACTCAACAACTTCCTGCATCATCAAACTCTTCTCGTTCCTGAGTTTCTCTATCTCATCCATAGTACCTTTCCCTGCTTCAGCAGATGATCCAGAAGAACTTCCGGCCTGATGTGACTTTCGCCTCTGTATGTTCTTCAACAAATGCCTCTTCCCTCTCAAGAATCCTTCATTCGCAAACTCCCACCTGTCAGCATCGATTTTGCGAAATCCCTGAATAAAGTTGCCCAAAAGTAATTCAGAAACAAAAATTGTAGAAACTATCAGACCAACAACATGAGAATTAATCATTATTCATATAACAAAATGAAATTTTTACATAAAGCCAGATGCTAACTGTCAAATTTTCATGAGTTCCAGGAGCTGTATTACACTAGAAATACACAATTAGTAGATCTTTTGAAGTAAGACCATATATAAACTACAAAGCTTAAACACTCTGTTTAATCAGAACCTTAGAATTCTACCTGCAGCATTAGATGAACCTCCCAAACTCAGCAGATGCATCAATGCAGGGAGCTTTATCTACAAGCCCAAATCACGAACAGCGCACCTCTTAATCATTTTCCAAACCAACCACTTTAATATCCACTAAAGATCTCAATGACATCATTTACACAAGGTACCAAAAACATTAAACTATCAAGAAGAAATAACAGTTCTCTAATGTTCATTTACAATCGCAGGAGCCTATACTGTTTACAACGCGAAAAATCTATTTACATTTACATCCTAAAACATCATCTTTACTGTACATCAACAACATAAGAGCAAATAAACTACAGAGAAAATGAGGGGAAAAAAATAAAGATACATGAAAATCTACAACAGAAATTACATACAAGAAAAAAAAATCACAAAAAAGAGAGAGACAAGAGTTAACACATTAGCCAAAAAAATTTGGCCAATGTGCTAAAATTAATACCCACATATGTATTAAGCTGTCGAACAAAGCTGGAGAAATTGCTGTGCTTGAAATTCCTAGGAAGAACCAATCTTGAAAACTCCACTGGATCCCAAACTACAAAGCTATCTCCATTTCTACCCCAAGAAATAATCGAATCCAATAAAGGGTCCTCAACCAAATCAAAAGTCTTTGACAAAAATGGCGGAATTTGTATCCCATGTAAACACTCCATAGGGTGTGGCACACCCATTCCTTCCTCAGCTAGCTGTTCAATTTCTCCTCCTTCTCCAACAGGCTGTTGGCTCAAAGGAGTGGCAAAAGATCCAAAATTGATAAAAGGAGAAGATGGGTCAGCAAAAGGGAGTGAAATTGGTGAAAACGCAGCAAATTCAGAGTCCATTTCAGTCAAAAAGGGGTTTTTTGTATTAGTATCAGATTCTTGTTTTTTATCAAATGGGTTCATATGATACAAAGAGATTTGTGGTTTTATGGATCAAAGATTGAAACTTTATAGTTTTTTTGGATCAAAAGATTGAAAATTTCGAAAAGGGTGTTTGATAATAAGTCGGTAAGAGGGGGTTTAAGGGAGGTTTATATAGGTAACGCCGACATACAAACCAAGAAATATCTCCTGAAAACAACTGTGTAAAGTCGGTGGAGTTTTTCTCTTGAAGCTCCATTTTAATTTTTTTAATTTTTTTTTTTTTGATTCTTGTATGGTTTTCTGGAAAATGAAAAAGATTTATGAGGAAACAACCAGGTTGTTTCTGGGGATATAAATATTGTGGAGGAGGAAGAAGAAGAAATGGGGTCCATTTATACACAGAAAGCAGATATTTTTGTGAAGAATTTTTGTAACTTTTTGGAGACAAAGTTTAAGAATTAAGTAATTGAATTCAACAATGGTGGTGAGTTGGTCCAATGGAAATGGAGATATTGAATAGAAGAAGATTTTATTAATGGAGTTTTGTGGGGTGCCACTGTCTGTCTTCTGCATTAAGTAAAACATTTGTTGAGGATTTTTTTAAAGAGTAATTGACAAAAATGGTCACTTTTTTAGGTACAACATAAGAGGGATAATAATTTCGAAAAAATATAAAATTATTTTATCATATGCTAGTTAATTTTGAGAGTCCTTATAGTATAATAATTGATTAGTTAGTTTATGGTATATAATGAAATAATTTACCTCATGAATTTTTTAAAATTTTTTTAGATAACTTTATTTCTTCTTCCATCTCCATATCAAACAATCTCTTGTGTTGTTTTTCAAGAAAATATATATTTTTTATTTAGCTTATTATATTTTATATACAAATAAAAAATATTATCCTAAAATTATATAGATGGTGGTCAAGGGTAGGGTGTAAGGGCTGGAGGACAGTGTGAGTGTGGTTATAGGGTGATTTTGCTATGTTGAAATTATGTCCGAGGTTAGCTTATTATAAGGCAATTAATGTTTCACTTGACTTGACTTGTTTAGTTGTTCATCAATATTGCTTAATATTTGGATCTAGATTTTTTTTTTTATGTGGAACTCAAATGAATACAATGATACACATGAAAAAATTTAATTTTTCATATTGATTCAAAATAACGTAATTTTTTTTTTATGTACTTAAATAAACTTTGTCAAAATTTCAACTTCAACTTTGGCACAATCATAAGTCGATTGTCACCCCTAACACTTTATTGAAACTCTCACATTTTTCTACCCTTTGATTTTTTATCATGGCCAAAGTTGCACATTTATGATACATGTCACATGTGACAGTATTTGACTTACAATTAATAGTTTAGCGATATTTATCTCAATCAAGTGAATTAAAACTAAAATGCACAGTATATAATCAACTATCTAGACAATTCAAATTCAAATTACAAAGTTAAAATTAGAAATAAAAAGTTTTACTCACAAGTAGTTACATGAAATAAATTGTCTCATGTGTGCGGCATGTGTTACCAAAATTCACGCCACCACAGACTATTGTACACAAATTTGGCAAACTTTTGTTTAGCTTTGTCCTGACATTAGTTCACCTTGACTTGCTCACATTGGATCCGACCTTAAAACTTGCCAACGTGTCATCATGTCCATTATCGGCGTTATTCAGTGCTCATGTCATGCATAGTCTTCTCGCCTTATTTATTGCCAATTTTGGTAATGCCACCATATTATTCACGTGAATGATTCAATCCACATTTAATTTTTTAACAAAGTTATTTATATCAGTTCTTTATCGTAATTGTACCATTTGTCGAGTTTAATAGTCATATCATAAAAGCAATTGTAGTCGTCTTATTAATATTTTATTTTAAAAAAAATCTATTTCACTTCCATTACTTTGATGTTCAAATTTAAAATTTTAAAAAAATACATATATCAAATTACCCTTATTTAGAAATTTGGGAAGGAAAGATAAAGACAAATTTGTAATTTTATTATTTACTTTCAAATTTACAAATTCCTATATATGTTATGTATATACACACATTTTTCTTCATTGTTTATATTGTCAGACTCTAAAATCCACTCTAGAGGTCAATTCTCTCTCCCCTAATCTTAAATTTTGTTCATCATTCAAGATACTCTATTTTGATTATAATTTATTTTGATGTTGTTGTATTAAAAGTGTTTGTAAGTTCTTATTCTCCTTTAGATTTTTGTGCTTTGGTTCTTGGGGAATTGTAATATATATATATTATATATGTTGTTATTTGTAATTATAATGATTTTTTGAGTTATTACAATATAATGTTATTGCACAAGATAAATTTCACTAATGTATAATAACTTGTAAATCATATAGAAGAGATAAATTATACTAGATAAGTTTTGTGTGACAAACTCGATTTAAGAGCCCCCACCCCTACTATTGTAGACAAGAAATTTTTTACTTGAGACCTTCAATATAAAAATTTCAAGGCAAATCTTCTGAGTCATCCCTAATGCTTGTCGAGTCTGAATTGATATATCATAAAATGGTGTATTCGTATAATATTTTAAACTAGACAAATAAGAAAATGTAAAAAAAAAGACTAAACAAACTGAGTAGCACAGGGCAAAACAATTTTTTTAATAGGACAGAATAATATGAATCAAAATCTTTACGGATTAAGGCTTGGTCTACCCCATCTCATCCTAAATGTCATCCCTAAACTGTTAAATAAATATTACTCAATTTCTTATATTTTATATACAAATAAGAATTTTTATCCTAAAAATAATTATATCTTTAAAATAAGATTATGAGGATCGACGGAAATAAGAGTAGGGTATGGGGTTTGGGGAGGGGTAGGGGTAAGGGTTAAAGGGAAGGGTGAGTGTGGATGAGATCTATAACAAGGGTGATGTTGTTATGTCGAAATTCTGTTCGATGCTAGTTCGTTATGAGGTAACTAATGTCTCGCTTGACTCAATTGGTTTATTGAGCTTCTTAATATTTGGACATAGATTATTTTTTGATGCGGACCTAAAATGAACATAATGATACATATGAAAATTTTCAATCTTTATATTGATTCAAAACAACGCAAAAGACCTTCATTCGTTATGACAATAAATATGTCATAACTTCAACTTACGCATAATCATACTTATTGCCCCAAAACTTTATTGAAACTATCACATTTTTTCGTCATTTGATTTTTTATCATGGACAAAGCTGTACATTTTATAATTTATAATAGATGTGACAATCTTTGACTTGTAACTAATAATCTCATGATATTTATCACAATCGAGGTTAATTAAGCTAAAGTGCATACGATATAACCAATTGTCTAGGCAATTCAAATTATAATTACAAAGCTAAAATAAGAAATAAAAAAATTGCTCACAAGTAGTTACATGAAATGAATTGTTTTACGCGTGCCTCATGTGTGCGTCATGTCAACCCTCGACCTCTTTAGGGTATGGCCTGCCGGCCTGCAAATATAGGAAGACGACCTACCTGCTAATTAAACTGCATAATCAAAGCGACACTTTATTGGTGGTTGATAGGTGTTGGTCCGATTCACCTATGTCAGTTCGAACTTGACGGGTCGCGTACGTCGAGTATTTGTTTACTTTGGGCTTCACAAACATCCAAGAAAAACAGCCCAACTAAACTCATGGGCTCCAACAAGGCCCATATATGTCCCTTTCTCTCTTCTCTATCCTCCTTATTAACGAATTTTTGCCCCGACCCGTATATATATGAGCTACACTTTTTCCCAAATCAATCAAAAACCCTATCTCCCATTCCAATTTACAGCTAAAAAAAATCCCCAATTGAAGCTCACAACTTTCAGTTTATATCGGTAAAGATCAGATTTAGTCCCATTGATTCGAGTTGTTCTTAAAATTTACATGGAATTAGTAATAAGTAGTGATTTTGTTGTTTGTTTTGATTTTGCGTTTTTTTTTAGCAATTTTGGATGTAACCGATGTAAAATAGTTCGAATTTAGGGTTAGTTTTTTTTTTCTCTTCTTTTTTTGATGATTGTTTGGATAAAGTGATGGAAATGGAGGGTTCTCGTAGACCATTTGATAGATCAAGATTGGAGCCAGGACCTAAGAAACCAAGATTAATCGAAGCCCCAATTGGAACTGAGCGAGGTTCTAATGGGAGAAGCTTTATTCCTCAACGGGGAGCTGGGAATTCGAGGATTCGAGCTAGTGATAGAGGGGGAGACTCGGAAAACAGTGATTCGATTCGCGGGTCTTTTCAACAACAACAACAGCAGCAGCAGCAGACACAGCATCAGGAGCTAGTGAGTCAGTATAAGACGGCATTAGCTGAACTGACATTTAATTCGAAGCCGATAATTACAAACTTGACTATTATTGCTGGTGAGAATTTGCAAGCTGCCAAGGCAATTGCTGCTACTATCTGCAACAACATTATTGAGGTGATATTCCGGTTTTAAATGCTACTGTGTCAATGTTGTTGATTTTGTTTAATTTAGTGTGTTTTATTACTTGTTGTACAGAAGTGAAATCTGATAAAGAAGGTAAAGTTAGATTTATAATTTTTTAGATTAGTGCAGCTGGTGTAATATGAGTGTTGTAGCTGAAAATAGAGTAAAGATTCTGTAAATGATTTCTTGGTTAGTGATAAAGTTGGTGGATTTGGAACAAATTTGGTCTCTTTATGAAATTATATAGTTGCTTTGCTATGGTGATGGAGATGTCATGATTATAACTTTAGCTGGTAGAATTTTCCATTCAAAGTTATCCGAATAGCGTTGTGAAACAATTCCAAAGTGCAGTCACAGTTTTTCCACAGCATTGATGTGAATGATTATATGTGAGCCGTTGGGAAAAAAAAAGTACTTGAACTTCCAATTTCTAAGCTTTTCTCCTGGATGTATCTCAAAAGTATCATATTTCTTTAATTAAAAAATGATTCGTGCAGTTGCTATATGTGACTGGTTAATGTCTGGCCAATACAGACTCATTTCACATTTCCTTTTAGGTTCCCAAAAGGCCAACACCGATTATGCTATAACTTTAATGGTGAAGGGATGATCCAATTCCTTTATTGCTAGGCAGTTTATTAACATGCACCTTACATATACTTATGATTTGTCGGGCTCACGTCTTTGGCGTAAATCAGATACTCAGCATCGTCGAGGTTCACTATTTAGCATTTGTTGTCAGATGAAGTATGTATCCTGTTATTTAGTTGTATTCTCTGCAAAATTTAGTATGCAAGATATGTCAAGTTCAATCCTTTTCAGAAAAAAAAGAAGACATGTCTTCAAGACGTGTTGTTATACAGAATCTTGCTTCCTGCAGTTTCACAATTTTTGAAAGTTAGGATATACTCATCTTGAGCCTTTGCTTTTGGATCAGACATTGAAGGTCTGGCAACTTTTTGATTCAAGTAACTTGTCTGGATTGT